GCATAATGTGACATGGCATAGAATATGATATAATGTCATATATATAGCACAGTAGTTGATTATAGTTTTTTGAACCAGGCTGCAGGGGTTTAAATACAGGCTGTGCTATAACCTTGAATGAGTGACCTAATTTTCCTAAGGCTCAATTTGCTCACCTGTAAAATGGAGATGACAACAGCTCATTGCCTCACAGGACTATCGAGAGGATTAAATGACTTGATGCATGCTTTGCACAGAGTAACTGTTCCATAACTGATTTTTTAAAATTATAACCCTATGGAATATTATGTAGATATCAGATCCATATGTATGTTAACTGAGACCAATCTCTAATACACATTGTCCAATGAAAAGCAAAGCAGAATGCTATATGTTATCGCTCACTATTTATAGTGTTCTACTCGTGTTTCTAAGGGGAAAAGTTAATCCAAATTTTCTATATGTACCTATATAAGTACATAATCTAATCTAGATTAGAGGAAGAGATCAAAAAGGGCTTCGCCTTTATCTGATTTTAAATAGATAGATAAATAGACAGTTAAAAAATATATACATATACATGCACATGAAGGTAGAATGTATTCACATAATACTTGTAACTTAAAATGTGGATAAAAATTAAAGGGCCGAGGTGGTACAAATTATTATTCCCCTTTTATAAATAAGGAAACTAAAGTTTAAAGACGTCCAATAACATGCCTAAGCGCACACAGTCAACAAGCCCTGGAGGACTTCAGCCCAGCTCTGCCTGCCCCGTGGCCTTTCCACCACCCCGCACTGCCTCTCCAGGCCACCCAGGAGTTGACTGTGACAAAGGCTGGAAGAAGGGGCCGCCTCATCCATACTGGCTGGAATGGTACAAACCAAAAGCAACGGAGAATCGTGTTGTTGTTGTTTTCATTAGTGAACCTGTTGGAATGTGCCGTTCAGCAGTGTGGCTGAATGGTTCCCGCTGTTCTGCAAAACAAACAACAGTCCTTCCACCCAGGCCACTTCTGGGGCCACTCTTCTAGCCTTATCTCTCCAGGGACTGTGAAAGGGACACACGGAGGGAGGGGCACCTTCTCCAGCCAGCCGGGACCCAGTCTCCTGCCTCTCTGGTTTTCTGTCCACTACTGGCCATGTGCACTAAACTGGACACGTCGTCCTGGGAAGCCCCAGCCCACCCCCACCTAGAGGGAAGTAGTGAAGCCCGAGATGTCCCATCTCCATCCAGTAGCTCTACTTCTCCCTGTAGCTCAGGGAGGCCGTCTTTTTTTTTTTTTTTTTTTTTTACTTTGACTTGGTCATTTTGAGGGTCTCCTCCAGTTTTAATAGCCAAAGAACATCAGAAATTCTCTTTTCTTTTTCTTTATTTATACCTAACAATAATAATAAGCTCTCCCTCTCTTAAGATGATGTTTAATGGAAATCTCTGGCCATTTGGTTGTCTTCATATTTTTAAAAACTTCTCAAATCAGTAAGTCAAGCATTCTTCAAATGTCAACCGTCCATTCCATCTTGGTCCTAGGAGGGGTTGTCTGATTTAGAATGTCAAGGGTAAATGAAAGTTACTGAAGAAGAGCATAACTAACAATGTATTCCGCCTTATTTAGTCGCTGGGTGACCTTGAGAGAGCACAAGGTCTCTCAGCCTCAGTGTTTCCCATCTGATAAATGGGTAGGACACCTACTCTTCAGGTTGCTATGAAGTGTGTGTGCCCCGCAGGATCTGAGGGCTGCCCCTTCCCCTCCTTCCCAGAGCAGCTTTCCTCTTTCCAAGGTTTCTGAGATGTCAGACAGCCTGGGTCCCCTCCCCCAGTGGCTGGCTCCTCTCTGAAGTCTGATTTTTTTTTTCCCCCTTAAGTCACAAAGCCCAGCATGGAGTGTCATTATGTGTGATCGTGAGAGGGAATGGATCTGGCTTCTTTGAAAATGGCTTCTTTGCTAAAACCACAACCTCAGATCAGATACCGAAAGAATCCGCTGGCACTGGTCCCTGTCAAAACAATTCTGAGATAGCCAGGGACCATCCTCCAAGACTGGCAGTGGGCCCCAAGCGGAGCCTTCCTCTCCGATTCCCCAGGCCCGCAACACTCCATCCCACAGCCCCTGTGCAGGGGCAGGGGGAGCAGAGAGAAGGGCTTGGAGTTGTGAAGCAAAATTCTCTCTCTACTGTGCCCCCTTGCCGAAACACACCCCCCTCCACACACAGGCCCGCACGCGTGCGCACACACACACACACACACACACACCCCACTGCCCACACCTTCCTGAGCTGGACAGAGCTGCCGGAGCAGGATCTGCCCAGCCAAGCCTGCCTCCTTCATCCCCAGCCCCCTCCCTTCCCTACTCCAGAGTCAAGGTTTTATCGGGAGTTTCAAGGGCATGACTGGTAGGGAGGGAACCACAGACATCATGGTTGCTGCCAAGTCCTTTTTTCCCCCACAGTGTGTTTTATAAGCCAGCGTGTAGTTTACTCTTCTCCTAAACACTTCACTAGGGTGCAGGGCCTGGAGTTGCCATAGAAACACCTTTGAACTCCTTCTCACCCAGAAGACTGTGCCAATCCCCAGGGCTTTGGGGGAGAAAAGCAAAAAGAGACACCTGTGGATGAAGAGAAAGGAGAGGGAAGTCCATGATGGGGTGGGGGTCCTTAGAGAGGGCCGAGGCAGGCATGCCATGCCCTTCGCCCAGCAACATGGCACCGGGCCACAGAGAGAAAAAAAAAAGAGTCAGGAAGGTTCTGGAAGAGGAAGCTGGTGGGCTGGCTTGAGTCTCTTTAATGAGCTACAGTGTTGATCAGTGGGTTCACAGGGGTCAAGGGGAATGGGGCGCTACTGTGCACCTCCTTCAGGGAAAGAACGGGCAGTCCTCAGCCCAGCCTGGACACTGGAAAGGCTGTGCCTAGGAAAACGGGGAGCCCCCTACTGGACGCCAGCGGGGTACTGTAAGGCAGCGGAGGTCAACCAGCAGGCGCCCACAGCCACACCTCCCATGTAAGAGCATTATCTCATCGCTGCCACTAGTGCAGTGCACCAAGCCCGGCAGAAGGGCTCTGGATAGGGGCCAGCCGAGCGAAGACTTTTCTGTTTCTTTTTTAGTTTTGCTACCACAGTGTTCTGGTCTTTGGGTACCTCCTGGTAACTTAGCTCTTCTCTGGGCAGTTTATTGGGGGGGGGGTATTTCTTGAATAAATCCAGAGAAATTACAAGAAACTTTCTGCACCAGCCCAGGCCCACGGCAGGAAACCTAAGCAGTGAACGGTCAGGCACACCCCCATTTTGAAGTGGGGTTTCCTTGCTTGTTCCCGCTGCCCCCAGATCAATGTGCAGGGTGGAAGCCCAATGCGAAGGGCAGGAGTGGGGAGAAGGCATGAGGTCTCCCTCTCCCCACGTTCCAGAAAGTCTAAGGGAACACACCAGAGCCACTGGCAAGCAAAAGAGAATGCCCTGCCTCCACCTGTCAGATTCCTGGCCCCAGTGTGTGCCGTCTGAGCAAGACCAGAAACCACCAGCTGCCGCAGCTCCCGCCACCACAGGTAGGAATGTACCTATGCGGTGGGAAGCAACAGGTCAAGTGGAATTTGGGTGGGGTCAGTCACAAGAGAAGGGAGAAAACCTTCCAGACCTCAGGCAGCTCACGAGAATCCTTCCCGGCACTCCATGAGCCCAGGGACCAGCCAGGTTCTCCGCTGGAGGGAAGGTGGGCCTCTCAGGCCCCAGGAAACCTCTCACAAGCGTGAGCCCAGGCCTGCTGAAGGGCTGACCTGGTCACCCCTCCAGCTACCTCCGGACTTCTCCTGGCCTAGGCCGGGCCTCCAGCAGCGCCCCTCCCAGACTCAGCTGCTTCCCCTGCTGGCTCCTGCCTCCTCCCCTACAGCACTCTCGTGGAGGCCCTCACCCAGGACCCAGTGGAAAATTTCCTTCTCCTTTATGACTGTACTTAAAACACACATACTCCATTCTTCACCTCTGAATCGACTCAGCAGAGTGGCTAGACTGTGTCCCACCCCGGCCCCAGCTTGCGCCGGGCACACACAGGCACGCGCGCACGCGCGGGCGCGCGCGCGCAGCAGGGGCCACTGGCCTTGCATGCTTTATGAGCTGGAAAGGAGAGGAGAGATGTTTTCCAGCTGCTACTCCACCTCTCGCCATCCAAACAAGTGTCCAGAACACTCCCAGACAAGCTCTCCCACCACTCTCCGCTAACAACTCACTCCACTTTGTACCGAGTCTCTCTAATCAAGACGCAAGTCCCGTTGGGAATCGCCACCCTGCTGTGTGACCTGTGGCATCTTTGTTCTTTTGGTGACAACTCTATTTTCCACTGCTCCTTCTCCCCCTCCTCACACACATTCAAGGAAAAAAAATAGCCTTCCTGTGAATTCTCACAGCTATGTGATAAGTGATCCCTCACACACGCTCCTCGGCTGGCTATCAACACTCTGATACAGTCTCTCCGGGGGAGGGTCAACCCCTCAGCTTTCTCCTCATTTATGCCCGTAAATCCGCCCACATTTGGGAGTCCAAGCTCCATGAGCACTTGCCTGAGAAACTCAAGGTTGGTTTGGGTCTCAATGAAAAAAATGAAGAAACTTCTTAAGCGCAGGAGATAATGCAAACTCAGAAACTTCGGGTTTCTCCTGCAACTTTTTGTGCACATTGCTGGCAACTTAAAAAAAAAAAAAATCTATTCAACATCCCGGCAGTTTAGTTGCATTGCAAGTTTTAGGAACCCTTTCCCCCTTACCCCCAACCCTTCCTCCCACCATCGTGAGAAGGGAGTTTTACAGATGTAAAAAGGAGCGATCGCGACCTCATACCCGACAAGGAGAGCAAAGGCTGCAGAGGGTTCACTCTGCCACTGTGGGGTTTCTCTGCAGGGCATCTCCCCCTCGGCACAGGCAGGGGGAAAGAGCGGGGTTCGCCGTGCCACCCCGACAGCGAGCAGCATCCCAGTCCGGCTGCAGCGCGCAAGCGGGCACTGCGGGGCTCCCGCGGGGACAGCCGGGGCGCTTACCTATGTCAGAGTTGCAGAAGGCTTCCTGGGGGTGGCTGGGCGAGCATGTGCAGGCCTCGGCACCCCAGTGCCCCAGGCTCCAGCTGCCCAGGAGTACGACGAGCCCGAGCCAGGGAGTCATCGCCGCGGCTGGGACTGCTGCTCGCCTCTTCAAAGTTGCCGTGCTGCAGCCGGAGCTCGTCCACCCGACCGCACGGGCAACTCTGACCTCGGGAGCGCTGCCCTCCGAGAGCCCAGAGGGATGGGATGGGGTGAGCGAGGCTGCCTGGGCGCTGGCGCACGACTCTCCGGGTCGAGGAGCGGGCGGAGGAGCAGGAGGAGCCGGAGGAGAAGTCGTCCGAGAGCCCGCCCGCTGGCCGCTCTGCGCCGCTGCCGGGCGGCCGAGTAATATAGCGCGGGTACCCCCGGCACCCCCTCTCGGGGTCCCGCCCCTCCGACCAATCGCGGAGCCGCATTACCTCATCGGCCCTCCGAAACGAGGGCGGGGCCGGGGGCGCGGGGCGACGGGGCGGGGCCACCCGGGACCGTTCAGATCCTTATAGGGAATAAGGAGGCTTTGGGCACGCGAGTGGATGGGCTGGGACGCGCTTCCGACCCACGCCGGCCGAGTAGCCCTGGAGCAGCGCCCGCGTGCCTCCTGTCGCCCGCACCTCGGCCACACACCCACCCCGCCCTCTGGGCGCCTCTGACCCGAACCAGAATTAACTACTACCCACCCCAGCACCAACCCCTCCGCAGGTGAGAGGCGGTCCTTCCCGGCCCTGGAGACCTTGCCCGCACCTGGATAAGAGACTAGGAAAAAGACTGCCTCTCCACCTTCTCTAGGAAGAGCAGAGTCGGGAGGGTAGGGGGGGACCAGATCGATGACCCTCCCCTCTCCAGCCCCCACTCCGGCCCCCGCCCCTGACTTTCCTGGCTGCGAGGAAGCCTTTTGGAGCTAGCTCTAATAGGTCAGTTCCCCACTCGCCCGGAGTAAACTGTGAAGTCATTCAACAAACACTGTTCTGAAAGTTGGGATCTGCAAAACAAAGTTCTTGCTCCCATGGGACGTGCAGGTAATAATACATCAGTAACCTCATGAATAGGTGCATAGGTAATTGTCCATGGTGATAGCACTGGGAAGAAACCACAACAGTAATGGGTTAGAAATGGCTTCGGAGGGCGCTGCTTTCTGTGGGCTAGGAAGACAGAAGTCTCTCTGAGGAGGTGATGTCCAAGCTGAGATGTGAACACGAAGAAGGCTCAGCCATGCGAGAATCGGGAGGAAAGGACACCAGTCAGGGAGAACTGCAAGTGCAAAGGCCCTGAGCTTATTTGAAAGGGCAGGAGGAGATGGTAACCCCACCGAGGGCAGACAGGTCTCCACCCTTCCGCAAGGAATCAGGGGGTGAACAGATCCAAAACTGGGGTAAAAGCAGGCCCTGGAGGACTGTGCAGGACACTAGACTAGGAACTATAATGGATCATTGCTAATAACCGATACGATGACGTTTATAATTGACATCTTGAGTCTGCCTTGTAGTTCACATACTTCACCTCATTATACCTCACAATCATAGGCAGAGGAAACATGAAGTTTTAATCACACTTTCCAGATGAGGAAACTGGCACAGAAAGGTGACCCGACTTGGCAGCCGGCCAGGAACACAGTTCACGGGTCTCCCCTAGGAGGGAGGGTTGTTTCTCTGGGCTGGACTGGGCCGGAGCCGCAGCCAGCGTTAACTGCGCCCATTCCCCCTTGCAGCTGGAGTCTTCGATCTTTTGGCTCATGTCTCTCTGCCTTTCTCTACCAACTCATCCCGTTTTAGAAAGAGACTCGAGTGCTTTGGCTAGAGAAATAACTAAAAGTTTGGGACAAAATAAGAACTGAAAATGCGGCTCAGAAAGAAATGCACGTTCAATCTCTTTCTCAGAAGAAACTGCTTCACTTACCCTCAGAGAAGTGACATTGGGATGATGGAAGCGGAACATTTCATTGGAAATGGCATTTCCAAGAACATTTTTAAAATTCTTTTCTCCCTCTAGATTCTTAGCTATAAGGAAAGGAATCTCGTTGTCACATTTCTCTGTCTTATCCACCTTCCAGCTTTTAAGACCTTCCGCACCTCCACTCGATAGCCTGACCCATACGCCTCCTTTCTTCTCTCGACATGGACCCCAGCATTTCACTCACTGCTTCATGGGATGTGGTTGTATTACTTCCCCAAACACACCAGAAACACTTTGAAGCCTGAGACATTTGGTCACACTGCTTGTTAGCCCTCAGAGCAGGAACTAGGGTCCCGGGAGACTTGGGTGTTGGTGTCCCAGCAGTCCGTTGAGTTTTGAGCCGTGGGCATTCAGGAAACCGCCCCCAGGATCAAGGCTGAATGAGGGCATACTTGGTGGGATTTGAGAGCTCTCTTATTCTTGCACAGTGCCAGTCACATGGAAGGTTTTATAAGTCTTTCCAGACCAAATCCACTTTGGATAAGCAACTTGCGTGATAAGATGCTTCTCGTTTTGCTTTTCACATTACGATTTTGTCCAAAATGCCAATGTTTTCTCCAAGGGGAGGCTTTGCCCAGAAAGTGAGTATGAGGCAGATAACTTTTGCTGAACTTGAAACAGCGGGTTCTTTACAGAAAGCATCCGAAGCATTCAATTATGGCAACTACTTAATTATGTAAGTGCAAGAGTAATCTGACTTTTCTAACTGAAAGATAATGAATGCGTCTTTTGGTTTCGTTCCTCTAGCTCCCTAAACCAGTCCATACAACATTTTTGGAGTTCATATTCCTTTTCAGTTGGGAAATTCTCCCTAATGCCTAACCTGAGGGGACTCCCCTCTGCCCACCCATGAGGTCAGCTCAGTCCTTGTCTTAAGGAGAAGGAGAGCAAGCTCCAGGAATCTTTGTGCAGGGGAACCCTTCTGCCAGGAGGAGCCCCTCCAGCAAGCAGACCTCGCGGCCCGCCAGCCAAGCATCACAGTGCCCATGGACCTAATATGTAAGAATTGCTTTTTCAAGTCCACTTTATAAGGGAGATGGGCCGGGGGATAATGGTAAGCAAGGAGATACCGGCTCTCCCACTTTTTCTTGACATCTGAGAACAAGGATAAATCTATAAACCTTGGAAGAACTGAAGAAGTTTCCAAATGCATCTGGCCTGCCTTCAAACCTACCAGGCTGACCTGGGCTTTCCTTTCCTGGAACTTTTCTAGGAAAAGGTGATCCCATGACCACCTGCCCTCTTCATATCAAGTTACAGAACACTGGAATCTCTGGGCACGTCAATGTTTTAGAGGTCCCAGCCTCTTCTTATCAGTGGGAAAAATAAGGCTCAAATGGGTGAAGGAATTTCCCCCACGTCTTGGGGTCAGCTAGTGGCAGAGCCATGACAGAGTGGCCGCTGCTGGGTCCTTCCCCTGGGCTGTCTCCCACACACTCACAGGCCTCGGTCCCCTGCTGCGGCACACGACCTACTGCTTGTACCTTGGCCATGGAAACCCAGCCACTCACAACCCTGGATCTGCGTTTCAGATCTGTAGATGAGTTTCTTTCAGAGTGTTTGCACAGCGACTGACGTAAAGGATTTCACCTACACCGACTGACCAAATAGTTGTCCGTGATGATAATCGTGCCCTCTGCCCTGCACAGCCGGGGGAGCTACGCGGAACGAGCACAGCCCTCTGTTCCTCTGAAGTTCCTCTCTTGTGTGTTTATTTCTGTCCTTTCCAAATTATTATCTAACACCTTTTGAAAGCACTCCAAACATCGCTGCAAAGAGGCACATGAAAAGTTTCTTTCAGGGGGACCAAAGATGCCTGTAGATAAAAAGACAAAACAGAAAAGAGATTTGTTCCCAAAGTGGCTGCAGGACAGTTGTGTGTGTAGACAAGTCACCTCACCTCTCCAGGCTTCAGTTCCCGTCTGTATTGGATGAAAGATATGACTCAGTGGTCTCCAAGATCACCCCTGGCTCAAAAAGTGTACCATTTCATGGAAAATTCTCAAGGACAAGGTGGGTGTTACTGAAGGGAAGACAGATCTTGCCATTTTAACAGGTTTGAGGCAAATCGAAAGAGGGAAATGCAGCTGCCACTATCTCGGTCAGCAGTAACTGAGTTCTTACTCTGATCTCTGAGACTGAAAACGAAGATTGTGATGTGAAGGCATCGGAGAGACTGAGGTCTTGCTGTGATTAGTTGTTTTTCTGTCTGCCTCTTGGATCATAAGCACTAAAAGACGAGAAAGTATGTCTTTTATTGTCTCCATACGTTATTTCCAAAGTTTATTGAACTCCTATACTGTGTTCAGATTACAGCTTAAATGTCACCTTCTCCGGGAAGCCTTTTCTAATTGCCCTCCCCAGTCTTCATCCACTCCCTCGGTGTAACCCCCCAGCACCCTGTGCTTCTTCGTCTCACACCACTGAGCCAACTGTAATGTGATTGTTTGCCCATCTGCTTCCCTCCCTGGACTGTAAGCCCTCTGAGGACAGGGACCAGGTGTTGGTAACAGAGAAGTCAGTGAGAATTGGTTGGATGAGTGCCGTTGATTGGCCCTCCAGCCCCTTCCCAGTATTCAGGTGGGCAGGTGGAGCTCACGGAGCCCTATCCCCCCAGCCAGTGCTAGGGGGCGCTGTAAGCTAGAGAACACCGTTCCCTCAGCCAGCAGGCTCGGCCAGTCTCACTGAAAAGGCGGGAGCCGCATGATTCCACACTAGTCAGTGGGGTGCGGGTGCCTTTGAGTGGGTGAAGCTGACCCCTCCCGTCTGCAATAGCCACAAAGCTCCCAGTCAGCATCTCGTCTGAGTCCGCAGCTGCCCAGCTCCCCCACCCTCAAGCTGCCCACACGTCCACTCGATGGGGAGAGGTGCTCTTGGGAAGAGGGAATACTGTGAATCATGGGTTTGGGGGGACCCGGGATCTGGGAACACAGCAGAGGATGCCACGATCCCACTCTTCGTGAGCTGGCCTCTGGAAATTTAACCTGGAGAAGGTGCTGACAAGACATGGATAGTTTCTGTTGCCTCATAGAGGAATACCTCTTTTCTCTCCTGCCTTTTCCTCTCCAGACCCTAACCACAGAGCCTTCCCCCAAGCCCACAGTACAGTGCCTTCCCCCAAGCCCACAGTCCATCTGAAAGTCATTACATTCAAAACAGCCTTTCCCAAGCAACAGACAGCCCCGGTCCGCCCAGCACCACGAGCCCTGGCCGGACCGTCCGTGGGGTTGCCGCCCCGCACCGGGGAATTAGGAACCTAAGACGGTAGGTACTTCAGGTTCTTTCTGTGTCTGGCACCAGCAGGGAGTAACACCTTTCCCTACTTCCATCTGGAACCAATTTCATGGCAGTCAAATTGCAGC